TTTAAGTGAATATTTGTTTTTTTTTAAATTATATTTCATTTTTATATTGTATGTATTATTATCTATTAATTTAAGTTATGTACCATATAATATCTATAATTGTACAATTGTGTTGTATAAATATAAATAAATATAAATAAATAAATAAATAAATAATCAGGGCCGGCCCTACCTTTAATGCGATGCATGCGAAAAATACGAGCGCACGCCTTAGGGGGCGCCAACACAAGTTTCGGATATTAAATTTTCAATATAGTTTTTTTTTTTTCAATATATAATTTCTTTGCATCTTTTACTAATCTTTCCACAATATTTTTAAAATTCGTAAAAATTTCACTTTATAACAACAAATGGGAAAGTAAAGATGAATACATACAATTCGGCCCTCACGATATCGATTAGGAGAAGTTTAAGATGCAATTTTTGATATTTTAAATAATATAAAATTAAATTAATTTAATCCAATATGAAGTACCAGTGTTATGGTTATGGTTATGTTATAACGTTTAAAAGACTTCAATTTCCAATATAATGTGGAAATTGAGACTCATCATTTTATTTAAAGCAGTTCTACATTTAACATAATTCATATTATAAATGTTTATGCATTTTGGCGTGAAGAGTAATTTAAAAAACAATATTTATTATTTTTAGGTAAACGGTAAATATTAGTATATTATATTAAGGAGGTCTTTCTATGTGATGGGTTGAAAAAAAAACGATTTTTTTTTTCATAAATTGCTCCCTTAACATGTCTAGAATAAGGTAGTGAAGCGATTTTAGAAAATTCGAAGTCGTTTTAAAGATACAGCAGGTAAAAGAAAGAGCGGTTCTTAATAGTTTTTAACGGACTTGAAACTTTAAACGCGTTTTTCTCAAAACTGTGTTTTTCAAACTTTCCTCCATTGTATCTCAGAAACGGCTGGACCGAATTACTTGAAATTTACAGGGCACACTCAATATATTTAAACGCAAACACTATTATCAATCGAAAATTTTCAAAACTTCGATTTTTTTATAGCAAAAAACATAAAAAAAACGTCTAACTTGCAACTTTTATTTCAAATGTCTATCAAAAATCCATTTTTTTTATATTCATTTGATTATAGGTCATTCCGTGCTTTTAAGCCTGCAAATTAAAACGCCGTTTATTCATTTTTTTCAGATAAGCCGATCAGCCGCAATCGTGGAGAAGTGGGAGCTCTTTTTTTCGAGGCGGGGGTGTTCAAAGCGCTGTAACTCTATTTTGACTGAATATATTGAGCTGAAAATTTTATATTTATACTGTCCAAATATGTGTTAATAAATGATAAAAAACTTGAAGCTCTAAATATTTACTGGTCGTATAAAAAAAATCCTAAAATATCCCTAAAAAACAGGCCGTCACATAGGAAGACCCCCTTAAAAAATTGTAGTCATGGGTACAGGACAACGTCTGTCGTGTCATCTAGTTATTATATAAATGTGTCAAACTATATATTTACCTGACAAAGCATGCACAAAAGAGCATCCGCCAAAGTATCACAACCGACACTCAAAGTCTTCAAAATCCCTGCAAGTGTTGGTTCAGCCCTAGTGATCATTGTAGGTATCGACAAAGTCTTGGAAGTATCTAATTTGATTAAAATCTCAGACCTAGGTGCTCTCATAGCCGCAAAAGTCTTCACATGACTCTCGTTTACTAATCTATGCTTCAACATACCACCAAGGACATATTCAATAATATTGCATGAAGACTTTGTGTCCATTAAATCTAGTAAAGACGTGTATTGTAGGAGTAACTCAAAAGCACTAACCACGTCTTGGGAGTAGTCTTTTTTGTCTTTGTACGGATTGTTTAGGCGTTCTATTATCTCAGGGACTTTTAGGAAAGTAAAAGCACCCCACATGGATTCTCTAGCTGCATCGTTTACATCATGAAGTGATATCAAACAAGCTCGTATTAACTCGCAGTATAAACGTGGGTTGCTGTAACCTTTGAAACTTTGTATCATTAATAATTGATTTACATAAGTTTGTGTGTCGGCACAAGGGTTTACAACAACGTCTACAGTTAGCAAAGCTTGTATACAATACGTAACAGGTTCATCAGGTTCGATTAATTTACTAACAGCATCCAAGTTACAAAGTTTTTGCAAAGAGTCTTGTATACTTCGATCTAATTCAGCTAAAGTGATCATTGAGTTGATTTCATTGCATTTTTTAATGATTTTTAAATGCAAGTCTTCATCATCGTGTTTTGCTAAGTACATTAAAGCCATTATAAAGTCGCATGATACAAAAGCTTCTAGGATTTTTGTGGGTTTATCCAAAAGTTCAGGGAACTCAATTTTGGTTTGTGTACTATCTTGGGACGTTGGTATCACAAATGAACACAACGTATAGTGATATATTTGTAACAACCAGTGTACAATAGATAAAATAGCTGAAGCCAACAAATCCTCTTCAGCTTTATTTCTACATGTTATCCCCGGTTGTATAGTTTCTAAGAACTCTAACAAACTAATCAAGCAATGAGGCTTTTCAAACTCATCAAACTTTGATATCTTTATTAAAACAGCAGCGTATGACACCATTTGACAACTTAAAGTATGGTGCAAGTATGATAGTACCAATTGGTTAGCACCTGCCCCGATAACAGCATGTTGCAACATACAATCAGCCAAATTGTAAACGTCTCCACTTACACCTCGAGGAAGGATTGTTTTTATATTTATGCCCCATTGTAGATCAGTCCAACGATCTTTCCAAGCCCGAAGCAAAAGTGCTTTTAGGGAACTAGTTTTGCTTGTGGTTTTAGAGTTCTCCAAAGTCATAATAAATAGTTAATAAAACTAACCCTACAAATTAATTATTTAACAGTAGTAGAATGTATCCAGCTTGTACATTTATTACTATTTCGTTGCTGCCACCATTATTTTAATGAATATAAATAGAAACTTTTATTATTGCACTCAATTGTTCATTTAGATTTAATTTATTTTCAATATTTTCACTTAGTTGTTTGACATTTAGATTTTTAGGTTAAGTTGTGTTTACAGTTCAGTGGTGTAGCCGAGGACTAAATAGTAATTCAAAATATAAAAAAATCATACAGAATTAAGATTTTTTTATTATTAATATTAACAACAATTTTATTATAATTATAAATAAAAACGTATAATATCTTATAATAATATAAATATAAATGCAAGAATAAACAAATTGCAAATGATGAGTGAAGTTGTATACAGATGTATATTCAAATTTGAATTTGAATTATTGTTAAAAGTAAATTTTATTATTATAATCATTTTAACAAAATAGGGTTTGTAATAAGAGGGTGTAAATTTAGGGTAATATGTGTGTTTCAATAACGTAATATAAAAATAATTTGGCCAAAATTTAAAAAAAATCTTAGATGTGACAAATTTTATCACTTGATTTTAATAAAAATTTGATACAATAAACTTAAAACTTTAGTATAGTTTACTATTAATGAATATAATCTTATTGTTAGAATAGATTTAATTACTATAATGATTTGATTTGATTATTGATTATTTAAATAATGTTGTCAATAAAAAACACGTGAGGGTAAATGTCAAAAAATTTGATGTTTGACGTTTGGTGGTCAGCTGACTTTGACAGCTGTCAAATTGGATAAATATGATAAAATTTAAAAATAACCGTTAATAAAGAAATAACAAAACTATTTTATATAAATATAGTTATTAGATGTGTATTTAGTATATGTAGATTGCTATATAATTTTAATTTAATAAAAAAAGTACATAATTATAAAATATAAATAATAAATTTTATAAATAATATTGTTAGTTTTTGCTTACAATATTTAAGAAATAATTCCTTTAATAGTAGTGCATAATTTTATAATTTTTTTGTATTTATTTAAATTCAATAAAATTCAATTTAATAAAAAAAAACAAGTGGTCAAATGTCAAATGTCAAAAATTTGGTGTTTGACAGTTGACGGTCAGCTGACTTTGACAGCTGTCAAAATTTGACAAATTTGATGAAATTTAACAAAAAACGTTAATAAGGTAAAGAATTATAAAAATATTTTATATAAATATGATTATTATATATATATATATATATATCTATATATATATATATATATACAATTTGCAAGATATTTTCAATATAATTATTATAATAAATATTACAAATATAATATATTAATTTTAGATGAAAATAACATTGTTTTAGATTTTTTCGCAGTATATAATAACTTAATATATATTTTATATTAATTATACATTAACTTAAAATATTACGAGTGTTTTTTATAAGAACGGTTGAACCGATTTGGCCAGTTTTAGTCTTAGAACGTTTGTGCTAATCCAGAGATTGTGCAAAAGATGGCAAAACTATTTAAAAAACCGCGTAGAAACTTTTTATTATGTATTGTAGAAGCGTAGTTCAAAATAAAACAATTGCCGGCGGCTTATACGTCCATTGGTTTGACAGATGAATTTCAATTAAATTCAAGCCAGGACGGCTAGTATATATATTATAAAAATAATTATCTTGCACGTGTGTTGTCACGTCTAAACGGCTAGCCGAATTTTGGTAAATTATTTTATAATGTGTCAATGCATACAAAAACATTCTTTAATGATTTTCACAAAATTGGGGTTTGTGGTATAAGTGTGAATATTTAGGGTATCTATTACTAATTTTTTTTATTTTTTTTTTTAAATTTTTATCATAATTGCACCCCTGGACCTCCATTTCCATTTTGTTTGCAGCCTCGTACTAGTTTCAAGCACGACACAGTCATATGTTCAGGGCTTGCGTCAAGTCGTGTATTTATGTGTGCGTTGTTTCAGTAGCTTTTGCTATCTTATTTAAATAGTTATTTAAAAATATATATATTACAATTTGCTTATTACATTGTTAGCTAAAATTGTTGGAAACCAAAAATCAAATCTCCACTCGTGAATCGAAATAAACGGATAATTGTAAAGGATTGTCCTGAGTGTATAAACAAAGATCTCAGTACAAAAGTTGAATAAAATTTGTTAAAAACTTTAAGTGTTTTTTTTTGGAGTTTTATAAATTGAGTTGTATTTTTGTAAAGTACTGCCCGACGATGTGTGGGCAGTTTTTTAGCATTTGCTAACGGATTTTATATTTTGGTAAGTCCCAAATTTATTCATATTACAATTTTCTTATATAAACAATGTCTTTCATAAGTTGTATACCATAGTGTTTTATTTTATACATTATTAATTTCTGTATCATGTGCGCATGTAAAGGGAATGCGGACAGAAATTTTGACATATGCTAAAATCGATTTTCTTGTTTCTATGCGGAATTGTAAAAGATTTTAGGAAATTTTCTCCCCACATTGTTGATAAATACAATAATACTCCAAGCGCGTATTACTGTTTGTTTTATTAATTAGTTTATATTTATACATATGTTTTTAGACAGAAGAGTTCAAGGTTTTATACCTGTTTATAATAATTTATTCCTGTATAATTTTATCATTTTTACGTATTTGTTTATATAGAATTGTTATTAATTCCCACGTGGTGGGAAATTTTAAAAATTTGGTTTGACAGTTGACGGACAGCTGATTTTGACAGCTGTCAAAATTGATACTGAAAATTGGTAACGGAAATGTAATTATTAATTTATTGCAAAACGTTTTAATTAAAACAATGACCGTATTATTAATTAATTTTATATTCTATTGTTTTGTTTAAACGATATTGTTATTAGTAATGAAAAAACAAGTAGTGAAAAATGTAAAAAATTTGGTGTTTGACAGTTGACGGACCTGATTTTGACAGCTGTCAAAATTTAATGAATTTGATGAAATTTGAGAAAAACCGTTAATAAGACAATATTTTTATAAATATGTGGTTAATCTTATGAATTAACTATTGTTTTAATTTTTTTCGCATATATTTCCAATACCCTGCGTTTCCACTAATTTTATTCAAAATAGTATATATGACTAGTTATACTATATTTTAGTAAATTTATATAGTTTTTATGATGTAAATAAATTTAAGTGTCTAGAACAAAATTTGTACTTAATAGTAAATTTTTATCTAGTTTGGCTAATGGAAATAATTAAAAATGTCTAGAAGAATTTTCTTGTATTTAAACAAATCAGAACAGAAAAATTGACCGAATCCATATATGTATTTTCCATCAGAGTAATAAACCCGTTTCGTCTCATTTAATTCAAAATTTTGATATGCAAGTATTATATTACTATTTATACTATATTTAGTAAATTTTATCTCGTTTTGGCAATGCATAGAAACTGAAATGTCTAGAACATAATTTTTTAGTAATTTGAAAAATTCCAGAAAAATGTCCCAAATCCCATATTTCCAATCAGAATTTATATAACCCCGTTCCGACTAATTTTATTGAAATTTCAATATGCAAGTGTATATAACTAGTTATACTGTATTTTAGTAAATTTTATCTAGTTTTCACTGGAGTAATTTTTTTTTTAATTTCAATAATTATTACAACTGCTAAATTATTAACATCAAGTAATATTGATAAATAATAACATAAATGTAAATAAATAAAGTGCAAAGGAAAAATTTCCATGAAAAAATATCCGTAATATGATTTGATATAAAATATAAGCAAATAATAATAAAAATAAAAGTAATAAAAATTAAATAAAATTTGAATATAAAAGAATACTAGAAAAAATAATAAAATATAACAAATAACAATAATAGAAATAGTAGTATATAATAAGAATAATTAAAGTAATAATAATAATAATAGTAAATATAATAATGGAATAATAATAATAATATAATAATAATTTAAATATTTATGAGATCATTGGAAATGGTATACTTTGTGTGCCAAGTATTTTCTAGTAATTGAAAAATCCAGAAAATGTCCCGATCCATGTATTTTCAATTAGCAGCTTCATGTATTAGCATTAGTTCAGACAAATTTTATGCAAAATTTCAATATGCAAGTATATACAACTATTCATATATTTAAGTAAATTTCATCTAGTTTTTACCAGTGTAAATAAATTGAAATACCTTGAAAAAACTTATTTGAAAAAAAAAAAATCCATTATAGTCTTGAATGTGAACCCAAGAAATAAAACAATAAAGCCACAAAGTGATAAAAGGCGAAAAGCGACAGACTGAATCATTTAATCACAATCAAGAGTGATAAGGAAATAATTCTTATCATTTCTATTATTAAAATGTATTAAATGGTATCTTGAAGTTTGGTCGTAAAGAGACACGTGCTATCATAATGTATAAGAATGCAAATATAAAGCTCTGATATAAATAATACATGTACGAAAAAAACACATATGAAAATCGAGATAGGAATTAATCATATGAGACAAGGATGAGTAATTTAATGAAACGTCATTCTGTCTGGTTTAGAAACTTCTGAGCAACTTGATATTAAGCAGTACTTATACCTGAAATATACATAACAATAGGTGTCTAATTATTCCTGATTTTTCATATCAAATATCATAAATTTATTTACCCATTATTCTATTATAAGTTCGTTGCCCTATTCAAGAGTATTATATAACACAAAGCCAGCTTCAAATATTTACTTTTCAACTATTCTCATTTTTATAAACAATTAATTCTTATCATTCAAACAATGTGAATAATAAATAAAAATAATTCTCTGCTCTATCTGCTGTCAATAGAAGATTGCATGTCAAAACAATACGTATTGTAAAAATATATATTATTATATATATATATATATATATATATATATATATATATATATATATATAAATGTGTGTTATAAATAAATAAAAATTAAAAGTACTTCGAACTTTGAATAAGCAAAGTACAGTATTGATAAACGCACAGAAATAGTGTTGCATTTTGATAAATTGTTTAAATTACTAGTATTGATA